CAGGACATTGCGACTGGCGTCTCCGGCATTAGCCCGGATAGCTAATAGAGGACAAGCTAGATATTCTCCGGTCCCTTCAGCCGTTTAGGTTATTGGGAACCGGAGACACGCCGTTTTTCGGCGTCGAGAAGTGAGTTTGCCTTACAACTCCGCCACCAATGAGATTTGGTAGTGGACTTTAGAGTCAACGGCTTCACGGCGGCAACCGCTAATTGTGCAATACGCAATAGGAAGTGAGCGTACCTACAGCTCCCGGTGCCTATCTGGAAAATAGGAAGGGTACTGTACTACACCCGGGACGACTCACCCGTGGCACTAGCCTCTCCAGAACCAGATGAAGTCAAATGACAGCGGTCTGTGACAACCCTGTACACTGGCTGATCTGGGGTAAGAATCAGAACTTATAAGGTTTCTGTGCGCGCACAGGTTATAGTGCCTTTCCCGCATAACCAAGAGGTTGATAGGGAGGGGCACTACAATCAAAAGTTATGTAGAAAATGAGAGCTGATCATTCGTAATTGAAATGCCCAGGTGTAACTAATTGTCTAGACCAATTGGCAGAAGATTTGGACAACTATGCTCATAATTTTGTTTTCCTTGGAAAATGGATCAGTTATCGTCTTTGACTTTGGACACAATAACATATAGACTCATCCGAAGAACAGAGTCCAATGTGATTATATAGCGAAAAGAGAATACGTAAGTTACGAGAGTAATTTCATTATTCATACTAAGGCCTATGTGGATAGGTGTCTTGATAATTTATATATCTTATTTCGTTACGCAAATATAAAATCGAACAACAGTCGATCTGACATCCACACCGAAGAAGAACGAACGAAATGTACTATGTTCTGAGAACAAGTAGTCTTGCACATAGACCTTTGTTCTACGGATGAGTCGAATATTTATGTTACGGATCACGGAGTATTTACTCCGTCGAAAACTTTGTAACGCAAATCCTGCTTGGCGTGTCGAGGCGAGGCGCTAGCTCTACCATCACCATTTGCTTACCAAGTGTATTAACTTTTTACACCAAAGAAACATTGAAAAAGTAATTAAACGCACAAAACCGCTGAAATATCTATTTATTCGTCGCGATTTACGTAGCACACCTTGCAATCGTAGACACAACGAAATTGCATTAAAAGACGTTGCTTATAAAGAATTCCGCGTAACGAGCCAAGTTTAACTTGGGTGTTATGAATTAAAGCTCAGAGTTATGAAAGTGGGGGCATTTCCGCGAGAACAAAAGCCGTGGGCCTCATTTCTTGCACTCTGGCACTTAATATACTCTTGGGGGTTTTGGATTTATTGTACTTTATTTCTTTGAACGATATTAAGCAAAGTGCTAGAGTTTAGTGCCCTGCGGTGTTTAAGCCTTCCTAAATTGTAATTTTGAACACAAAGACTGTGACCGAATATTATTTTCATAAAGAGAAAGGAGATAGCTCCCTGTCCTTTGAAAAGATACGTCTATAAAATTCTGAGGTACGTAAATGGTTGTGCAAGTAGTGTAGCATTTAGTACTTTATTGGTTCTAATCTTCAATCCCAGTACTAGTATGTTAAGCGTTATGAATACAAGTCGAGATTATTTAATTACAATTCCCGGTGCTGATCCTGGCAAGCTCTCATTTATTTCCTCATAGCAATCGTTATTTCGGGAAATTAATTACGCGGTTTTTACATTCTTCATTTAGTTATATGATACCAAGTTGCTTTAAAATTTAATCATATGGCGACATTTAAAACTTATACTAGTATAACCACTAATATATATTAAGTGCCTTTGTAACAAAATTCAAAAATACCAAGTACGTGTTACGTCGTGCTGGTAAAAATATTTTACAAAGCGACAATTTAGCTAATTTCAGTCGAACCAAAGCCAAAGTGCCTGCTTAGTATTGCATCCAAACAACTTGGTACAAACAAGTTACATGTACGAGACTCGTGCTACGTTGAGTCTGTCGTTTGTATTCGCTCTCTGCAGCCACACAGCGAGTACACAGGATGGAACGGTGAACGGCAACATGGAGGTTTGTCAACAAGGCTGTGGATATTGATAAAGGCAAAGTGCGCCTTTGTGCGATCCCGTAAAGCACTATTCTCGTAACCACCTACACTGGATGGAAGTGATGGTTCGCCAGACATCCAGGGACTCAATTTGACAAATAGTTTATCTCCTGACTATATGCCGTTGCATATTATCGCTTCACTTACGTGATAACTTCTACCTATAAATATGTTACATTGAGTGAGTTTGTAATTTTAAATTGAAATTAATTCAAATTAATTAATTCCTTTTTGATACACAAGTTATAAAGGCATTACAAGAATGAATTTTGAATAACTGTAATCCCTTTGCGGCATACAAAGTCACCATAGTTTTTATGGAGGCACTCGTGTAATAATTTGTTCCGGTTATTCGTGCAGTCAAATAAAATATCAATCGTATAGGCTAAATAATAATTAAAAAAATGTTTTATCTACTTCATGAACCTTGAATTAAAAAACTTTAATTTAAAAAACTCCGATACAAAAGAGCGTATTCCAAGAAGTCAATAAAGGCCCCAACTGTAAGCCAACAACTCGTCGCGACCAATATCAATGAGCCGAAACACGATTTCTATTGTGAATAGTTGAGGAGTTGGGTAGTCTGCCGACTGCCTTGGTTGTAGCATCAGATCAAAGTTACCTAACTGTTGTAGTGTATACCAAATGAAATCGAATTAATATTCATTTTATGGCTGAGATCCCAACGCTAACGCTATTGATCATCAAACGTAGCTAAGAACCATCCCAATTCAATTAACCTTCAAATAAAAAACGGGTTGAGATCAGTCCTTCCGTTTACGAGCTACGATGCCACAGTCAAACACACAGTGCGTAGGTAAAGACTCCGAACTTATAATTCCTCTATTTTTCCGTTGGGGTTTGAAAAAGAAGATTATCATAAAACTGCGCTATTTGTAAGATATATTACGTGACCTACTTAAATTACATTGGAATAAAAAATTGCAAACCTTATGTAGTAATTAAAAGAGTAATTGTAAGTAAAATATGCTAGTTTCATTTGAACCACTTTGAACGGTTACAACAACCAACAAAGAACTTCAAAGTGATAGTATATATAAAAAACACCAGAGGGCGCGCGAAGATGTCACAGCGTTTCATTGCACCTTTTAACATATTTCTGCATCTCAGCGTAGCATTAACAAGTTTGTAGAAAATTTATTCCGAATGATATTCTGCAAAATCTGCCAGTGGATATTCTCTCTCGCAAAAATGTAAAACGACGGATTGGCTGAATCGCCGAACAACGATCGCCGATCACCGGATGCTCAAAGCGTCTCTTTTGTTAGAGATATTTTTAGAAAGGACTTTCAAGCTTCCATAAAACAACTCCCGGTATCTTTTGATTTTTCACAGAGGTATTCGATTCGAACGCTTCTCTACAATTTCCATAAAGTAACCAACACAAAAATCTTTAGGCCGCTGTCATTCTACGGGGTTTCATATTATGTTACAATGCTATTAAGCGGTTGCTCCGTTTTTAACGCTGTCGTCGTTTAATGGTATTTTCACAAACGTCATTGTTATATTCATTTTAATGTTTCTTAATCGACTAGAAGTGGGTGATTGCGAACTCACGAGGTTTTATCTTCGAATAACGCCACCTAGATTAACGCTTTATTGCCACACCAAATAACTAGGATCCTCTCCTCTTTACTCATTCCTAAAATGCTGATAAATGTACGAATTAATGCCAACACCACGCCACGTTTCGTGGAACGCACGACACTAGACATATACCAATTTGTTCCTGAACTTATGCGTAACTGGTAAGGATAGTAAAATTGCCGAAGTGTGTCGTAATGTCTGTATGTTTTGTGGTGTTTTCGTAGAGAAAATTGGAAAAACGTTGTTTACTAGTTAGTGATTTTATTTGAAGTAAAAAAATAAAAAGTAAACACATGATAAACAAGTATAGAATTTGATAATATATAAGAACACAAATTTTGATTACAGAATACGAAGTACATACAATCTAGCCAGTATTTCAACGTATCCTAAATCATATTTATTTCATCAAAGATCATGAATTAACTGTGTGTTTATATTGGACTATAATATACCGTTTTTTTAACCCAGTGTAATTGTGTATTTACTCATTTTGAACTAAATGCATTAAATTATTATGTTTTAAAATTTTAATCAAAGTCCATTTGTAAGTCTTATCCGGCGGCAGAAGCACAGTAACTTTAGAAAGGCAAGAAGAATAATGTCTTTCGAATCACGTTGCTTAGATATTCAACTGGTTATCATTACAAAAGCTAATGACAATGTCAGCTATTTCTCATTCGCCAAACATGAGCGATAGAATGAACGAGATCCGAAAGAAACGTGCTCTATTCTAGTTGACGCACCACGAGACTCGCCGCAGCTTGCATTAACGTAATGGATGGTAGAGCATTTGTTCAGACAACTGTGCTGCCTGGAATAGAACGATTATTGGCAGATGTGTTTGCTGTATTTACATAATTAGATCCGAGTGTATCTTGTATGCGCCTTATTTTGACGCCCATACCTAACAATAAGAAAGACCAAAGAAAATTATATGTATAGACGCTTCCGCAAAAAAGTCGTTAAAAAACCAAAACAAAGGTCTGCAACACAACAGCACATAGAAAAATTCATAAGGTCCGCTGGTTCGTTCCGTGGTTTGGTTGGCATAGCGTCTGCCACGGTTTGCTCTAGCAAAGCACGCTTTATCTTCTAACACGTTGGTTCGAATCCAATCTTTGTATTAAAATTGTAACGAAGTGGTGGATTAATTTCACAAAAAAAAAATTGAATATCATGGTGGTGAAACAGCCTGACATTCAATAAACTTAATTAAAATTGTACGTTTTTAAAGTTATAATAAGTAAGTGCATCACTAACTGCTTTCATAAATCAAGACGATCTACCAAAATTTTCTTAACAAGCATAATTCAGACTGGGCGGGCCGGGCGTGGACGCGCACGTGCGGCACGACACGGGCGAGGCAGTACTGCACGCGCAATTCCTCGTCAACGAAGGTGCACTCGTCACTGCCACGGCCGACGACCAGCTGCATCTCTGGACCTTCCGCCAGAAGTCGCCGCAGCGTGTGCAGTCCTTAAAGTTCCAGAGAGAACGGTGAGACGGCACTTTTTGAAGATTATTTTCTATGAACACAAAAACTTTATACACTAATTTCCAAAGGTAAACGGGCTTTTAAGGTAAGTACGATTCGTGGTCAACCACGATGTCAAAGGGAAATGGGTTCTTAAAAACAAAGAGCTTCAGACGGTCCTCGAATTCATTTCGAAATTGAAACATTCACCCCATCTACATGTGTATTTAAAGTCTTGTTTGTGGCTGTAAATCAACAAGCGATCCTCAATAAACAAGTTAGCAAACCCTAAACAAAACAGAATCGATAAATCGAGGCGTGCTACAAAAGCAAAAGGACTCCAAAACGATGTATCTCTATTAAATTGACAAATACCAGTGCCGTTCGTTTTTCGTTCCGCTCTAAAACTCGAGCTAATTTTGCGATTGCCGCGCCATCTGTGTATGGTTTAGCAAAACGAGGACGTGAAGGGGAGAAAGGCGGATTTTTATGTATACAATAATGTTTCAACAGCTTGGTACGATATAATTATGCAGCTCTGCTCTGATGTGAAATTATTCCAAAAGTAACTTGTACGAAGCAATGAACCTTGCTAGATTTATATTCGAATGGTTAAAAATGATTGTATTTAAAGCGAATGTAGTTGAAAATAATTTCATTCCTAATTTTAAGTAAGCTCTCTGGTGCTTAGACGTCTTCTTAGTTTACTTAATCTTTTGCCGATAACGTTATTCAAGTAAAAATGAAGTAAACAAACCGTTTGGTTTATAAGAGTATTATTTTGGGCGTTCGTCGGTTTATTGCAGAGTATGAAACAGTCGTTTGTACACAAGCGGTGTTGTAAAAGTTGGTAATATCTAATTAGTATACAAATTATACAAAATTAGCTCCCCGGATCCGCCAGTTCGGGTTCTCGTCCGGCCAACTTCGGGGATTATTTGTTTTGGACCCTCCTGTTTTTGTTATTCTTTTGACACAATTACATTATTACTCGCATACTTGTGAGTACGATATTTGAGTATATACAAATCTGAATTAAAATTTTTTAATAGCCGACTCTGCTTTACTCCAACTCGTCTACAATCATGTCTGGTTTTGAAAGCGAAGAATTAATTTAACAACATAGGAACAACTAAAACAAAAACGTATCTTTGCTCTCGTAATAAACTTTTCTCTTTGTATTTCCGCAACCGCCTGAGAAACACAAGTTTTCCTTTCTCCGGATTCATCCTAAAAGATTTTCCGCCAAATCCTAATTTTCTCATTTAACTGAGATACTTATCTTCCTTGAGTGATGGCATGTCGCTTAATCAAAACAGCATCAAGGCCTTTTCAAGGATAGTGTTGTGATGTTCATTCATTCCACGAGGGTGAGAGGTTAGGGACGTAACGCGAGGGGTGAGATAGTAATGTAGGCGCCACTGTTATGGTACCTGAGTTGACTGACACTATAAACCAGATAATTAATTATGTATTAATCCCTAAATTCATAGGATGTTAATAATATGTATATTTGACAGACGAACGTCGCTTTTTACATAAAATATTGATAACAATTTGACCGAAACAGGAACGCGTGTCCCGTTACTGCCTGCAGGACTGCGATTGGCCAATCAATGATAATCGCAATGTGTCGAAGTAACAGGGGCTGAAATGTTTTGGGATTTGATCAAACGCTACATTCGTTTTAGTCAAATGATCCCTGAGGCGTATGCACGACTTTACCTCAATTTTCTTCAGCAAAACTTCAAAAACTCTACTCTGAAACTTCGTTATAACCTTCGGAACGGTACCGAATATAGCTGAAAAGCTAATATCAAACTTATTTGTTTTGAGAAAGTATGTACTTTTGTTCCGCGATTCAAACTCGTGCAAGTGTAAGAAATACATAAAGTTGCTTACTGACATCTATTTTCCTTCATGATAAAAGATACTTACTCATCAAAATCAAATTGCTAGCTCGTGCCCGTCTTTTGGGAAACTCGTGACTTTTGAGAAACCGACATATTTGAAGCGTGAAACGCGACGCGTGCCGATTCCTCGAAATTATTCTGTACAAGTCGAAAGCTTACTAATGAGCTCCGACCGTATAAGGCTGAAAAATATATGTAATTTTATTCATGTTTTACTGATGTTTGGATTGTACGTTCCTTACAGCTGAAGAAAAAATATTTTTATTTTATGTTCTTTTCCCTTTCTCCCTTAACCTATCCAATGAAAGTTACGTTTATTTTCATCATGATAACTCTTCTTATCCGGGTTCGAATCCCGAGAAACTCGCGCTTCTGAGTTTCTCGGAATTTATGTGCGATATTTAATTTGAAATTTATCATGAGCTTTTCGGTGAAGGAAAACATAGTCACGAAACGTGCACGTCGAAGAAGATTAACGACCCTCAAAAAACGTGTGAAGTCCCCGACCCGCATTGGGCCAGAGTGGCGGACTATGGCCTAAACCCTCGTCTGACAGAAGACCCGTGCCCAGCTGTGGGACTTATGGGTTACTAATGAACTCTTCCTTGACAACTTCGTAGTAATTTGTATTCGTCTGTTTCTTTTTAATGAAATGATGTCGTGTTTCTCCTTACAATGTCGTACCTGTCCACTACTGTACAATGAGCTTTAATTAATAAGGTGGCTCACTCGCTCAAGGGTCCGCAATTAGCGCATCGCACACCCGCGACGGCTTTTCACTCCGTATTCCCATTGTTCACATGCCTTTATTATATACTAACCATCTACTTGTACAAGACCCCTTGTTGTATGCTCTGGAAAATTAGCTAGAGGTCATTATCGTCTAGTTTAGTGGATGAACTTTAGTAAAAGGACCGAAAACGTTTGGGATGTGAAAGTTGTGAATAAACACTGTATGTGACCAGAGAGTAAATATTTATTGTTTCTTTGTTTTACGTTTATAAATAGGTCCGGTACTCTTTAAAGTAAATGTTTTAATGAAATTAACAGAAGATATTAATAGACTGCACAGAGCCATGTACAATTGTTAAGTAATTCCTCGTGTCATTTATGAATAATACAAACCGGATTAAATCTGTACCTTTCTGTCGTCCGTCCAATTGTCCGTCTGACAATCGACTCTTTTCGCTGATAAGTCATACTAGCACAAATCATTGACGTTACGAAGCCCCGGTTGCGTGTCCAAAAAATTTAAATCAAAGTAGACATACGGCATACGTTCAACATCAAATATTACGTTAGTGATCTAAGATAAAAGCGTACGTGTTTAATCTAAGCATGCAGTCGCAAGCGCAATTGCTAGCTGGCTGGTTAGCTGATTAATGGCTGCCATTAGGTATATTACACGCTCGCATTAATTAAACTCCTTGTCTCGCTGGGAGTGTGGTGCAAGGGTGAGTGTTGGCTTCGAGCTTAACTCAATGACCCCACTAATAACCATGCTCTGAAATATTTATAAATTAGCTATGTGATTATAGGATTGATTGATATTTATTTGCACAAAATATGTTTTACAAAAGGTGGTGTATAGTAACAAGTTTCATATTTTACCAAATACTGTCATGCAAATTTTTTTTTAATTTTATTTCATGACAAATTTTATAAGTCTGAATCAATTCTAGTAACGTGAATAAAGTTATTATAACATGTTATAAGCAATATTAAGTTACTGTCTTGTCCTGTGGAAGTAAAAATAGACAATATAGTAAATTCATGTCATTTGTAGGTCAAATCAATTATTTATTTATTTATTTATTTATTTAAACACTTTATTGTACCACAAAGTAACTTACAAATTTTCAGAAACAATTTAAATATTTGTGTACAAAGGCGAGCTTATCCCATAAAGAGATTTCTTCCAACTAACCTTTGAAAATCTGAGAGGAAAGTTGGTTTTTGGGGTGGCACTAAAAATAGATAAGTAAAGAAATGAAATATACTATACTCAATAAATACACAGATAAATTTAATAAATCAAATGTACATACGAATATATATATATATATATTAAGTAATGTTGATAATTAATACATACAAAGTCTATAATAAATTGAATGTACAAAATAAAACTATAAATAAATATATCAAATGTAAATAAATATTTCAATTATAATCAAATTATAGTATAATAAAATTATAGTCAAATTTGAAGACCTTTATAGGAAAAGAAATCTGTAATGGAGTTTATACATTTGGTAAAGTCATCCTGGATTAGACAAAAATTACCTAATTTAATTCCAAAATCAACGGTCTCTTATCTTCAATTTTTTTTATGATTCCTTGGATACGAATACAGTCTCTATAGATTTTATTAATAGGTGAATTGGTTATCAAGTTGGACTCGGCCGTGACGATGTGAAAAGAGAACCATTATACGATTTTTGCGATTTTTTATTGAATCGTATTCTCGTTCGTTAACTCATTTGTTCTATTCGCAATTCGCGCTTTAGAATGATTTGTCTTTAATTTGTTTCCTCACGCGTCCAATTGTTCCACCACCTTTTTATTCTGTTCCTTATCTGAAGTAATGATTTTCTTCATTTTGATAACCTTTTGATAACTGCTTATTTCTTTAATAAGTATTTGTATGTCAAGTGAAGTTTAATTTTTGGAACAAATTGTCCTTTGCAATTTTTATTGTTATTTGCACAGCTTTAGTTCCGTGTTTCGAATTTATATTACGATTTCAGTACAAGTTGTTATGTGCCTGGGTTACGAAAAATTCGCAATTGTTCAATTGTTAGTCAAAATAAAATTGACAGCATCAAGCCAATTGTATTGCGACTTGACATTTCGCCTTACGCAGCGACAATACGTGTTACATAGCCCTTATCACATGCACAAGATTTATTTTAGATTCTCATGGCACGTACGTATAGTCAGCAGGCACGTTGTTGCAGATACCGCGTGCAGCGGTCGCGTGGCACGTGCGAAATCAAGGGGTGAGTGGTGTTGCCTGCAATTGTTGGTTGCCGTTGGCTGCTTAGCGGTGAGCTCGCCTGCGTTGGGTATTAAATGTTATAACCAATGGTCGGAAAAAGGTATTCCACATACATAGATATAGGTATAAATATAGTTACAAGGAGCGGCACAGAGTTGTTAAAACCACCAAATATTAATTAATTACTTTTTCGAATTCCAGATTTCCGGAAATGGTTTTTCTGCACCGTAAGGCAAAACTACTGACCTAGGAAGTCGAAGTCGGATTTTAAAGTAATTCTAATGGTGCCATGTACAAAATGCAGTAGATAACTGACCTTTTACCAAAGCATATAAAAAGTAACGAGAATGGTCACTCTCCGCCCCTCCCTAGCTTACATTGACGGAACGGCATCTAGGCTGTTAGTTATTTACTGCATTTTTTAAATGGCATTATTAGACTTCGACTTCCTAGGTCGGTAGTTTGTCCATTTCCGGAAATCCGAAATTCGAAAAAGTGATTGATTAATGTTTCGTGGTTTTAACAACTCCATATCGCTCCTTACATAGTGTATGTCTATAAATGAATGTATATCTATATATGTGGAACACCTTTTTCCGACTATTGGTTATAACGGACTGATTATATACGCAGAATTTAGTATTAACGATAATTGCAATGAGATTGAACGTATTCAATAAAAACTATTAAAAATTTGTTTATGTTGGTAACTCTTTACAAATTCTCAATTCATGATTAAACAGAGCAACCATTGATACTTCAGTCTGAAGTTGGAATTCAAACAAACTAACAACGATATCGTTCGATTATCAGCCTATTGATAAGTGTCACGCTTATGACTAAAACGGGCACGAATTGTGCACCTCACAATGAGTGTAATTGTCATTCGAACCACTTTACGCCCACAATCGCGGGAAAGTCAACGCTAAGCCCTTGCTCGATGTCGTTGTCCGCACGATCGTTGTTCCCCTTTATCTCCCTCTATCATGTATCCATAACTTCTTTGACTCGAATATTTCAGACTGCCTCATCTGTGACGTTTCCTGCATTTCCATTTTGACCTGTTTGTAAAGTTTAATGTGGAATTCCTTGTTAGTTTTCAGTAGTATCTTCATGTACATGATTTCCATCCATTCATCCTCAATGTCTTCAGTGTTTCGCACCTCTCATCACATTTAATCCTTTATCATATTGGTAGATATTGTCTGTGTCATTCTCAGTTGTACCCTCTAGGCGATTTATTGCTCTTGCGCTGACACTTTTTTCTTCATGTGGATTGAATTTCTTCATTGAGTGTCCGGAATGAAACCATTGTTTACTATAGTCTGAGTCTGTGTCACCCTCCACCCTTGTTTGTTATTTTCATATGTGCCTGGTACTCGATGTCAAAAGTTGTTAATATTTAATACACCTCTTTTGATGTTTAATGGTATTTTGTGTATCATATGGATGTAATTCTGCTGTTATTGCACTGTTGTAGTACTTAAGTTCAGTTTACTGTGAAAAATGTTTTTGTTTCAAAATATTTCGTTTTATTTTTCTTTTGAGTTACCAAACGTCCTATTAAACCCAACAGTGAGTTATAGTAATTCCTACTGTAGCGGTAGAGCGCGGTAGAGCTCTTTTATGACTTGATTAAATCGTAACTCAGCTATAAATGTCCGTTCGCAAAATTGCAAGTCGACCAGTTTTGGGTTTCAGCCCTATCCTCATACAAGATGTAAGCAAAATGTGTCTGAAATACCTGATTATATTATCGTAGTTCCTCTTTGAGTGGTGGAACCATTACATCCGGCTGTTTCGAAACTTGCTAAACCACTTGCAAAACACACATAGATACAAATATTCTAAAATGAGCAACTCAGAGCCATAAATGACTTAGCCGTAATTGGCCACACAACATAACGGACCGACGCCATGCCATAACGCGTTCTGGATATCCGCTCTGATTGGCTATAACAACTTATTAGATACTGAGCGGAGGACCGACTATCTTGTGACAACACACACGACTTAATATTATTGTCAATAAAATGGAAGATATTAAGCAATGCTATTGCCGCTGTGAAACATTTTTAGTTTTCGAATATTCAATATCCATGAAGTTATTTTCTTACCAACTTCGTAATTATTTGAAATAAGCAGCATCAGGAAATGGTACTGAACAAATAAGAGAAATGAAGCTTTGGAAATGCGAGCAACAATTGAAATGTTTGCGATGTGCATTGCAAAGTGATCGCAAACAGCTTTGCGTCGCGAGAGAAATTGTCAGCGGCGACTGGCGCCGGCGCCGAGCGGGAGCTATTCTGTTGTTATCGAATAATGATCTAACGGTTTCAACCTCGTGTAAGCAAATTGCGATCGTTTTACAACGGAGTGTTTTTATTTCTAAGCGGCCGCGTTTGCATTAACAATAAAAGACATTGAAGCCTTGAATGATTAATTCACTTCAAGTATAGAGGTGTAACCGTCGCTAATACCTACTTACATTATACTTGAAACGACTTGTAATCGCATACAATATACTCAGTTGGTACTACACGATGCATGTTGGAAACACGAAGAAAATGCATCTCAAATGCACAACAACAAGAGCAACAGGAAACGTCAACAGGTACGAACATCGCCGCCCATGTTTGAAAAGTAGATCGATAGCTTTGTAGGCCACAGCCGTGGCCAGGCCTCGTTCGAGCCTACACCGACGAAGGGTATTCAAAGAGGCTCCATTCAATGGAGTCACAATGGAATATTCAAGCTCTTGTTGCTCGCCCGACGCGACGCCAGCGCCATTGCGGCGGAAGCGCGATCTGGGACACTGCGAGATTGAAACCTTGTCAACGGTGGTCGACACAATCTCGTTATGCGTCTGTAACCATTACCATTGACATTTCTTATGCATTAAATTATATTATAAGTTTTAGGAATTGAAGATTTCTGCTAACATCTATTGTCTCTATTTAAGCCTCTCCTATCTCTCGTCCATCATTGACAACCATATGAATCCATCTTACATGAGCTGGTGTTTCCAGGATCACGTGCCTGCACCTGCCGCTGGCGTCGAAGTGGATCCACGTAGGCACGGAGCGCGGCAACGTGCACGTCGTCAACATCGAGACTTTCGCTCTCAGCGGATACGTTATCAACTGGAACAAGGCCATCGAAGTGTGAGTAACTTCTTCTCTACTTACTCTTATCCAACCGTCATGATAAAACCCTACTCTCATTTTTTTTAAATACAAACTTGCAAGCTTCTAAAACTCCCATCGAATAACTTCGAGAAAGAAATCAATGGTTTTATCAACGTATAGACTGAGGTAAGAAAGTTCTAATTTTGTTAAGCATGATTTCGGGAAGGTTCGTCTTTCAAGCTTGTTCACTATTGAAACAATTTGTCGATAGTTCACAAAATCTCGGCAACTTTGTCTTTGATGTACACCCACGACCACAACCTGATCCGATCCGCCTAAAGTTTAATACTTTATACTCGTAACTATATTTTGAACGATGTGATCAATGGGGGTAAGGGTCTGGAAAACTAAGATGATAATAGGTGATTGGTTAATTCCGTACAACTGTTCTGCTCAAACACTTTTACCGAATTCAAGGGAGGAGTTTAATAGGAAACGTTATATCCGCTGCGACTCGACTCGTTTCTTCGACTTGGAATTTAATTAAAAGTTGGCTACTCGCTGCGCCTCTGCGAGTGGCGCTGCAGCTCATTTGCATAGTCAGCACGGTGCTCCCATTCTATGATGGGGTCTTAAAGAGGTACATTGCGCAATACCTTCTAAGGAAATGTCGGGAGACAGATCTTGGAGTCGGAAATTTGAAATTGCAAGGAAATTTGTTCATTGCCTACAATGTTCTTCCACTTTACTTGTTACAGAGGTTCTGTCAAGTACCTACCACATATATGTAGCAACAATTGCGACGTCTAGCATAATTACTTTGAAACGGCGCTCAATTTGAATACCCTCACGTAACATCATTATGTACTAACTGCATAACTAAGATGATGTTGCTCGAATCCTGTTACTTGTGTGCGTAGTGACGTACAACTAAAAATTTAACTTACAAAGTTGTCTCTCGAGAGACATTTCATTCAGTCCACTGCAACTGCATTCGCAGTTAAGTGGAGGCCGTAAACGCCGCGATTGTGCACTTTACGTCCACTTAACTCGCTATTCATGACGTCACTCGACTGAGTGCATCTCTGTGTCACTCGTGATGGCTCACGTTTATGAACTTGCACACTCTTAATGCGGCTCTTTCTTACGAGTAATAACAAGCGTCGGATTATTTCGTAATTCGTTGCAGCATTTTCGAACCTCAATGCCTTTTATAATTGATGATGAACTTGATAAATTGGGGTACAGTTATGTTTAACGGTTTCGTTTTAGCAAAACGCCAACAATGAATGGCGTTAAAACACATTTTAGATGTGGGCGAAGTAGAAAAGCTCAAAAAATAGAAACAGAACTAGGGTTTTGTAAACATTGTATAATATAAATGAAATCTAGATCGATTTTAAGCATGCGTGACCTTGATGTTATTGTGAACACCACGAATTGCTGAGAAAGGTTCCCGGCTTGTCGGATTTGTGTTAGGCAAACTAAATTCTTTGGGGACCCTAAATTTTCTATTATACTTTTTAATTGATATGTGCATAGTATATTAGAGTATTGTAGCCCCGTCTGGAGCCGATGAAGGTACACATTAAACGATTAGAGAGGCTACAAGAGAGGTTCCTGTTTCACCTTTGTTACTCGAACAACCTTTGTCGACATTTAGTCACGCATAACTCTAGATTAACCCATTTTGAAATGATTTCACTACAGAAAATAAGAAATATAAGCGACCTTATATTTCAGAATAAACTAATAAATGGACAGTTCGACATTTTAAAAAACAACAATCTAATCCTGCATATTACTGAGCCTACTAGAGGAAAATCATGTCTAGATCTTATAATCAGTAATGTCAGCGATGCAATAGGTTCGGTTTCAGAACTATGGCTATCCGATCATAACACAGCACAGGTCCTACAATTCCAAGTTAACAAAAAGTCTATATTTCCAAAAATGATATTTACCTATAAACGATGTTATTCTACAGAAAACATATTAAGGTTTGTAGGTCACATAGGCAATCTCTCATTTTCGGACATATACAAACACCAAACCTTGAACAAAGCCTTTGACGAGTTCTATGAATTGTTTTGTCTCTTATACAAACTCTGTTTTCCATTAGTAAAAGTTAAAATGATATCAACATTCACGTTAAATCACGCTGGTTAACAAGAGGCCTCAAAAAAAGCTGTACTACAAATAGAAAACTCCGTTTTAACTATTACACACACAAAACAAACAACGGTCAACATATCTATCAGACTTACAACAAATTACTCAAAAAGTGTATTCATTATTCTAAGAAAATGGCGAACAAAAAATTCGTCGTAAACAGCAAGAATATTTGCAAAGCTACATGGACAATAATTAAAAATGAAACTAGTAGTAGCTACGTTAAAAATTATATACAAAAAATTAAAGACAAAGACACTGAAATAACGGAACCAATAAAAATTGCAACCAAAATAAATAATTATTTCATAGAATCAATTATCGAATTAAATAATGACATACAAAATACGATACCTAACAAAAAAAACTTAAATTCTATCTTTCTAACTCCTGTAGACGAAAATGACATTAAAAAAATAATTTTGTCAGTGAATAACACTCCATCTGAAGGTTATGATTCTATATGTACTAAAGTTATTAAAGCATGTAAAGATCAGATAGGCGGAGTACTTGCCTTTTTAGTAAATCTCTCCTTAGAAACTGGACGTTTTCCAGAGAAATTAAAACTCTCAATCGTAAAACCATTACACAAAAAAGGAGACACTACAGATATTACTAACTATAGACCTATCACTTTGATTCCAGTATTATCAAAAATATTTGAAAAAGTCATGTACCACAAGCTTTTATCCTACTTTAATCGATTTAAAATTATACATGAGAATCAACATGGGTTTCAAAAAAACAAATCCACAGCACATGCAGCGTTTCACATAGTTAACGAGATTTTACAAAACGTAAATAGAAAGTTGTACACGTCGGGACTATTTTTGGACATGTCTAGGGCTTTTGATTTCGTTTCACACGACTTATTATTGACGAAATTAGAGCATAACGGAGTTCGAGGTCCAGCACTAAGTTGGTTAAAATCCTACCTTACAAATAGGTCACAATGCGTACAAATAACCCAACTAAACACAAAAAATTGTACCGAAATATATAAATCTCACTTTAAAAGTAATAACTACGGAGTACCTCAAGGGAGTATACTTGGTCCCCTGCTATTCCTATTATATATTAATGACGTATGTGATAGCACGGAACACGAAATAATTCTTTTCGCAGATGATATTTCAGTGGTTGTCACTTCTCCAATAAATTCAACATTAGAATATCATAAAAACGAATTGAAAAAAACAATGACATCACTAATTGACTACCTACAAAAACACAATCTTCAAATTAATTTAACTAAAACTAATATAATGAATTTTAATAACTTACGAACACAGACAATTGACATGGATTATAAAGGACAAATCTTGCAAAACGAAACCAATGTGACATTTCTAGGATTAATTATAGACCAAAAGATGAATTGGAGGGATCAAACGGACAAAGTATGTGCTAAAATAAATAGGTTTGCGTTTGCTCTTTACAAGTTGTCAAAAGTAGCGAATAAATGCACAGCCAGGACTGCCTATTTTGCGTATGTTGAGTCTGTACTCAGATACGGTATCGTAATTTGGGGCAACGGAACAGATTTTGCGAAGGTTTTTATTGCTCAAAAGCGATGTATACGTGCCATAAGCAATGTAGCACCGTATGTCTCATGTCGTCCTCACTTTAAAACACTAAGAGTATTGCCCCTCCCATGCCTGTACATTTTCGAAGTTGGTATATTCGTGAAACGAAATCTATCGAAATTCTTAATAGCGAAGGACGTAACATTCAGAAGCCTAAGGAAGCCCAATAAAGTCTTACTAAATACAATACCCAAAACAAAACGTTTTCTAAATAACTCGTATGTAATGTGTGGAAAAATTTTTAATCGTATACCAGATCGCATTAAGCCTCTACCATTGACTAATTTTAAAAAGGAATTGGGCATGTGGCTCTTTGATCATTTGTTTTACTCTATTGACGAATTCATGAATCATAAAGAATAATTAATTGATGCATACATTTTTCCCATCATTAAAAAAAATATATATATATTATTATTATTAAATTATGACATACACGATTCTGACATATCAAATTAAATCAATTATCTTAAATTTATCAATTTGTTGCCTAATTAGGTATTGTTTTAAAATCGAATCTCAATCCACCAATGTATTATTTTATTATTGTATTTGCATGCTTTTATTTTAGAAGGCCGAATAGGCTTAAGTTCTGATTTAATTTTTACCATCAACATGTGTAATGTACCCTACCCTATTTGAAGCGAATAAATGAATTATTATTATTATTATTATTACACATTACAGCTCTATTAATGCAGATTATTAACTCGTACTAATAATGATAATTGTATTTATCAGGATTTGCATATATTTAACCCCTCAGTCTCTCTAACATTTAACAATTAACTTTAACACAGCTAATGTAACACAAGGCCTACACCTCACTAAAACACACGTACCCGTGTGTAACTCATTTAACTTGTGCTTGTGTTAGATTAATCTCATAACCACGCTTCAAACACAAGTCATTCCAAATAAATCTACACAATAATGAACGGCTTTTATCAAAATGAATGCTTGACGCGCTCTTTAAGATTTTTTTGTCGTCAAATATTCCTTTCAATCAATGTACAAAGCCAAATCAAATCAAGATACAAAGTGAGCCATTAATTTGTTCCACAATCCCGGTTGGTGTGAGCTGCCCATAATCGCAATCCCGACAAGCACCCTATTTGATATGTAAAATTAATATGTAATATTCCCTTGTCGGCGCGGGCGCTGTTTTTTTCCTCTCATTGTTTATTACCCTCGCAAGTGGCCATTGGCCTTTTTCTTTTAATAGCACCCGAAACGTTTCATTATTAACTTCAACTTCATGCGTTATATTACGCTGAA